ACCTGTGTTTCTAAATCAAGTCCTGCTTCCACAATTCCAAAAGAGTAATTACTAAATCAGAGATTAGGAAATGGGAAAAGAAGAAATTATCTTCATCCAAAGACAGCTTTTCCCAGAGTATATTCTGAAGAATATTAGTTCCATAATTAACAACAAGATGAAAGCGTTCCACGGTCCAATGAAATTCAGTGACACTGAAAGCCATATCCATTACTTAGAGGTACATACCTGCAAAGTCTCACAGTCCAGAAATCAGTTTAAGATAGTTAAGTTCCATCCTGGGCAACATAGTGAGACCTGTCTCTACAAATAATAAAAAATTAGCTGGATATAGTGGTGAGCACCTTCCAGCTACTTGGGAGGCTGAGGCATGAAGATTGCTTGAGCCCAGGAAGTCGAGGCTTCAGTGAGCCATGATCGTGCCACAGAACTCAGCTCGGGCAACAGAGTGAGTCCCTCAAAAAGAAAAATGTTAAGCTCCCTCCCTCTCTCCTTCCTTCCTTCCTTCCTTCCTTCCTTCCTTCCTTCCTTCCTCCTCCTCCCTCCTCCTTCCTCCCCCTCCTCCCTCCTCCTCGCTTCCTCCTTCCTGTCTCTTTTCTCTCTCTCGTTCTCTTTCTTTTTTCTTCTTTTTTGACAAGTCTCACTCTGTCACGCCAGGGCTGGAGTGCAGTGGCCACAATCGCAGCTCACTGCAGCTTTCCAGCCTTCCCGGCTCAGGTGATCCTTCCACCTCAGCCTCTGAGTAGTTGAGATTTTTTTTATTTTTTGTAGAAACAGGGTCTTGCCATGCTGCGCAGGCTGGTCTCGAACTGCTGGACTCAAGTGATCCACCACCTTAGCCTCCCAAAGGGTTGGGATTACAGGCGTGAGCCCTAAACTGCCTTTTGATATAAAACCAAAGAGCATTTTTGCTCATAACATATCCTGAGGCACATATTTAGAGAAGCACTGCCTTTGGGGACCTTTTCTCTTTAATGGGAGAAATTTTGTTTTGTTCTGGATGGAAACTTCATGTAAACATGAAAAACACTCTGATAGACACACACACACACACACACACACACACACACACACACACACACAGCCTTAGTCCCCAGGTAGGCAGAAAAGAAAATATCCGGAATGACCGTTCCAGTTCTCGTCCCTTCCAGATGTGAAGCTGCCCTGAGGTGTGTGACATGGGATGTTGTCTGTACCTGGGTGGGGACCTGAGGCTGCTCTTTGATTGGGCAGTTAGGGTGAGTGGAGGAGGAAGCTCTGGGGGTGAGTGATAGGCAGCCAGGAAAGAGATGGCTTGGGGAGCACAGAGTGGAATTTTCCCCTGGAAATCCTTTTGAACTGAAGTGGATTTGAATGTTGCACCCACGGTCACCTAGATCCCAGGGCTAAATGATTTTTCTCTTCATTTTCCAGTAATAATTAACATTGCTGTAGTGATCACAGGCAGTTTGGAGACAGTTTGTCTGGCTGTAGTGATGGAAACAAGAAGGAAACTCCTCCCTAAACCCTCAGGGAAACTTTCTTTTCTCTTCTCTCAGTTGGTGGGAAGAGGGGGACACTGAAACATTCCTGCAAGGATTGTTCCACCTTTTGTTAAATTAAATACTTTTCAGCCTGGAATAGTGGCTCATGCTGGTAATCCCACCACTTTGGGAGGCCAAGGCGAGTGGATCGCCTGAGGTCAAGAGTTCAAGACCAGCCTGAACAACATGGTGAAACACTATCTCTACTAAAAATACAAAAATCAGCTGGGCATGGTGGTGCACATCTGTAAGTCCAACTACTCGGGAGGTGGAGGCAAGAGAATTGCTTGAACCAGGAAGGTGGAAGTTGCAGTGAGCTGAGATCCTGCCACTGCACTCCAGCCTGGGCAATAGAGTGAGACTCCGTCTCAAAAAAAAAAAAAATTAAACAGTTTTCAGAATCTTATATTCTTTTAGCAAAACACTCATTTTGGGTAAATGAAGATGTTTTCATTAACCATCCAAGTGACACTCCAGAGGTGGTTTTAGATTAGGAAACAGAGGCTGAGAAGCCAGGAAATCTCTCTGGGGCAGGGGCAGGGAAGAACCTGATGTCTTGTTTTCTAGCTCACTGGAGACCTCTGAGCCTCCAGGCATGTTGTCGGTGGCATCCTGCATTTCACTTTGAATATACAAGTTGGATTTGACAACCAGGTGAGATCAGAATCATGCCCATGGGACAGAATGCCTTTTTTTTTTTTTTTTTAGATGGAGTCTTGCTCTGTTACCCAGGCCGGAGTGCTGTGATGTGATCTTGGCTCACTGTAACCTCAGCCTCCCAGGCTCAGACAATCCTTAGCCTCCTGAGTAGCTGGGACTACAGGCACGTGCCACCACACCCGGCTAATTTTTGTATTTTTGGTAGACACAAGGTTTCATCATATTACCCAGGCTGGTCTTTAAGTCCTGACCTTGTGACCTGCCCACCTCAGCCTCCCAAAATGCTGGGATTACAGGTGTGAGCCACCGCGCCTGGCCTTAGAATGCCTTTTATACAGCCTCTTGCATTGCAGAGGAGCTGCTTTATTCCTGTCCCAGCAGCTGAGCAACTCTAAAAAGCATGGCTTTGTGTTTTATGGTGTTAATTTTGTTGATTTCTAAAGGCTTTTCTCTGTCTGCCCTTCCTTTCTTTCCTCTCTTCTTTTCTCCCAAGGAAAAAGGAAACCATAACAAAATATTACCGTATTTGAGTAAGCCATCAGAATCTGCATCAGGGAGTGAAGAGAGGGCTTTCTTTTCCATGACACAGTGCATGCCATAGAATGTCCAAACAATGAGGGACCGCACGGATTATCCTGCCCACCTCTTATAAGAAGGTAGAGGCCCCAAGTTAAGCTCTTGCACAGGACTCTTAATCACAGCGCCACCTCTTTCTGCTACTTCAGGGGAAGGGAGAGCGTTATTATATAATTTCACAAGTTCTGCTGGAGCTCTGACGGGGTCTCTGCAGCATGACTTGACACGACACTATTTGGAACCATTAAGCTGGCATATCTTCTGGTGTGCTGTTAAGCTGGGGTATCTTCTAGTGTGCTGAGGATCTGGCCAGCTTGCTTACATTTGTGGGCTGACTGGCCGAGAAAGATGAAATGACTTCAGCCAGCAAAGAAAGGCTGCTTATCTATTCTAAAACAGGCTCGATGCTTTTCTTTTTTCTTTTTACTTTGAGAAGGAGTTTTGCTCTTATTGCCCAGGCTGGAGTACAAATGCGCGATCTCGGCTGACTGTAACCTCTGTCTCCCGGGTTCCAGCGATTCTCTTGCCCTTGCCTCCAGAGTAGCTGAGATTACAGGCACGCGCCACCACGCCTGGCTAATTCTTTTGTATTTTTAGTAGAGATGGGGTTTCACCATGTTTGCCAGGCTGACCTCAGGTGATCCACCCACCTTGGCCTCCCAAAGTGCTGGGATTACAGGCGTGTGCCACGGCGCCCGGCTGGCTTGATGTTTTTCTGAGCACTCAACCGAATTAGTTTAGAAATGTCTGAGGTTTCTATAATGGAGAAAGAGTGAAACTGAGCAAGGAGGGCCATAACCCCCCTGGTGAAAACCCACCCGATGCTGACATCACTGGAAGCCCCTGTGTAGCTCCAGCTCTCAATTCTGTCACTTCTTTACTCCTCCTGAGTGATGACTGAGTTTAAATTCTGGGTCTCTCTGCCATGCTGTGAAAAATTGTCTTCTAAAGGATGGCCACCATGTAAGTCAGGGCCTGTGGTTGCACCAACACCTACCCATCTAGTTCCTCCTTCAAGGAATTTCAGATCATTTGGTGCTATAGAGCCACTGATGCAGAGTATGATAATGTCTGTTCTGGATACTTTATTTCTTATTCTGGTGACAGGTTTTTTTTTTTTTATTTTTTATGTAAACTTTTTTTTCCCCCCTGATTGGCAATATCATCATTATTTGTCAATCATATTCTTTTTGTTTGTTTTTGTTTTTGAGACAGAGTCTTGCTCTGTTGCCCAGGCTGGAGTGCAGTGATGTGTTCTCGGCTCACTGCAACCTTTGCCTCCCATGCTCAAGCGATTCTCATGCCTCAGCCTCCCAAGTAGCGGGGACTACAGGTGTGTGCCACCATACCCAGATAATTTTTTGTAGAGTAGGGTTTAGCCATGCTGCCGAGGCTGGTCTTAAACTCCTGGGCTCAAGTGATCTGCACCCCTTGGCTTCTCAAAGTGCTGGGATTAGAGGTGTGAGCCACCACACCTGGCCTTACATTCTTCAAATTAATGTGTGTTGACAGTAATAGCCTGTTAGTTGGACCTGTGACTACATTAACAAAAATAATCTTTCATGTAGCATATAGGGTTAGAGTGATAGGGCGGGAAGAAAAAAAGGAAAAGGAAAAGGATAGAGAGAAAGAGTTCTGTACGTTAAAGAATGTGTTGCTCTTGGAGTCTCTGAGATCTTGGCAAGGCCTGCAATGAATTATGTGTGTTGTTTTCTCTGGATCCTCAGTGACAATTTGAGCTATGAATAAGAGTTAGAAAGAATAGGACACTGTATTTTCCAGAGTAGAAATATAAATACATGTTTTACAGCCTCAGAGTGAATCCCCATAACTGAACTCACACTGTAGAATGTAATTTGGCACCTCCCTCAGTCACAGCCACTAAGAGCAACCGCCATCGGGAACCTAATGTTACTCAGAAAACCAGGACCATCAAATCCTAGGGTTGGGAGGATCTTGGAGGTTATCTTGTCCCTTTTATGCCTTCTAGCTCTTGAGCAACAAGAGAATCTGGAGCAGTGAGGGATGGGAGGAGACAGAGGCGGGGAGCCTCTGCCTCTGACTTTGTCTCAAAGATTCCAGAAATGAGGATGCATTCTTGGTCACCAAAATGCTATCTATCTTATTCTAGTGTTTAGTTTTAAGAAGCCCCAGTGCAAGGATAAGAGTGATTAATATTATCAGGAGCACAACATGTTGTGCCTGGCACCATGCCAAGCACTTACAACACATCTTACCTCATTTACTACAACAGCTCCATGAACGTAAGCACTTCATTTATAAAGAGAGCAACACAGAAAAAGGTGAGTAAGTTACTCTGGACTTAGCAAGTGGCAGAGCTGGGGTTCAAACTAAAGTTTGACTGATTTCGCACCTCAACCTTTTTTTTGAGATGGGAGTCTCTTTATATTGCCCTGGCTGGTCTTGAACTCCTGGGTTCAAGTGGTCCTCCTGTCTCAGCCTCCCCTGTAGCTGGAACTATAGGTGCACACCACCATTCCAAGCTCCTGTATCTCTAACTTTTCTGGTATTTTTATGCCCTGCCATTTGCAAGAAAGTCTTACTATTATAAAATGGTTCTTTTTATGTGCTGTATAATTGGTTTTGACTTACAAGCCAAAAGACATTTTCTTTGAAAATAACAAGAAGTTCATAATTAGGGTTGCTGGGCTTAGCAAATAAAAATACAGGGTACCCAGTACAGTCAAATTTCAGACAGACAACAAATAATTTTTTAGTTTGTGTGTTTTAAATATTTTTAGCCTATGTCCAAAATATTACATGGGACATACTTAAAACTAAAAAAAAAAAATTATTTGTTTGGTATTCAAATTTCCTGGTCATCCTGTATCTTATCTGTATTCACAATGAATGAGACTAAGTTGCTAAATTTAGTCCCTTTGTAGGCCACAGTGTTGCTCTGTTCCATGGCTGATGACTCTCTAGTGGGAACCTCTTCATCTAGGGCCTTCTGTAAACCCTTCAGTCCCATCCCTTGTATCTTTTTTTTTGTTCTGAGCCCTTTGTGTATTCTAGATTCTACTACTTCACTGGTTATGTGTGTGGCAAGCATCTTCTCCCAGTGTGTGTCTAGCCTTCTCCCCTCCCCTCCCCTCCCCCACTCCCGTTTCGTTTCGTTTCGTTTCGTTTCATTCAGCGTCTGATATGGTTTGACTGTGTCCTCACCCAACTCTCATCTTGAATTCCCACGTGTTGAGGGAGCGACCAGGTGGGAGATAATTGAATCATGGGGGGCGGGTCTTTCCCGTGCTGTTCTCGTGATAGTGAATAAATCTCACGAGATCTGATGGTTTTAAGATGGGGAGTTTCGGTGCAGAAGAGTTCTTCTCTTGTCTACTGCCGTGTGAGATATGCCTTCCACCTTCCATCATAATTGTGAGGCTTCCCCAGCCATGTGGAACTGTAAGTCCAATAAACCTCTTTCTTTAGTAAATTGCCCAGTCCTGGGTATGTCTTTATTAGCAGGGTGAAAACGGACTAATACAGCACCCAAAATGTTTTTAATAAGAGAGTAGGATCAGGGTTCGTTTTTCTAGCTCGGCTGGCCCATTCGGCCCTGGCACACTGAAAATTTCGGCCCTTGGAACACATAGGGTTTGGTGTGGCTGTGCAGGGTTGCCAGGGTAAATGCCAGTGTCACTATGGGCCCTTTCGAGGACCAGAAAGCAGGATGGTGCCACAGCCCTTGGGGGAATCCAGGCCAGCTGCTCAGAGGTGCGGATCTTGCCCCAGCCTTGGGGATGCGGCTGGGCCCTGGCCGCTCACACGCAGTGCGAACCTTTACTCTGGGCACCTCCTGAACCCGCACAACCGCAGCTGTGGGCCTGAAACCATAGCCGTTTTGTTTTCCGGGCCTGGAAGCTTCATCTTCCGATCAGGATCAGAGGTGGCCGGTTGGTGCGATTCACAAAAAGCCTCTTCAGTATAACCTGGCTGAAGGTGGACAGCTTGACCAACAGCCCTAGGTAGATGTCCAGCGCTTGGGCTCCCTGGGCCCAGCCTTTCTGTCCTTGCTGTGGTGGATGTCGACTCCCACGATGGCGCCTCCGGCTCCACGAGGCCGGGAAGGAGCCATTTCACTTTCTTTACGGGATCTTTGATAAACACATTTTATCAGTGTTCTCCTTTATTATCTGTTGATTTATTTTGAGACAGGCTCTGGCTCTGTTGCCCAGCCTGGAATCCAGGAGCACGATGTCAGCTCACTCCAGCCTCCACCTCCCAGGTTCAAACAATCCTTCCACCTCAGCCTCCTGAGTATCTGGGACCATAGGTACGCATCACCACACCCAGCTGATTTTTGTGTGTTTTGTAGATACGGGGTCTTCCATATTGCCCAGGTTGGTCTTGAACTCGTGGCCTCAAGCAAATGTTTTCCTTCATAGTTAGTACTTTTGTGTCTTATTTAAGAAATTTGGCCGGGCGCGGTGGCTCAAGCCTGTAATCCCAGCACTTTGGGAGGCTGAGGTAGGCAGATCACTTGAGGCCAAGAGTTAAAGACCAGCCTGGCCAACATAGTGAAACCCTGTCTCTACTAAAAACACAAAAAATTTAGCTGGGCCTGGTGGCACACGCCTGTAATCCCAGCTACTCGGGAGGCTGAGGCATGAGAATCGATTGCATCTGGGAGGCAGAAGCGATAGTGAGCCAAGATCACGCCACTGCACTGCAACCTGGGTGACAGAGTGAGACCCTATCTCAAAAAAAAAAAATTCTTCCCTACTCTGTGAATATAGACGTGTTCTCTTATTTCATTATGATTTTTGTTTTGTTTTGTTTTACTTTTTGTATTTGTCTTTTTTTTTTTTTTTTTTTTT